ACGCCGGCCGTCTTTACTTTCCCAGGACAGCCCATCCTGGTACCCATTTGAGGCTGGGTCGACCTGCGACGTCCCATACCACGATAAAAATCCACGCAGCCCACGCAGGTTTCGATCGCGGTACGTTGGATTTCGAGTCAGACTCGCAACGCCTTAGCCACGGACGCCGCCTGGAACCCACATGGGTAAGAAATATTAGTTCGAGTGCTGACATCTTTCCCGCCGTGACAAAATACTATAAGGATGATCTTTAATTATCTTCTGTTTAGGACAGAGAGTGACAGAAAATGTAGCCTTGAAATGAAAGAAATAATGTATGTTGTCACTTAGGCAAACTTCGCCAAGACCGGTCCCAATCCCGGCTGTAAAAGAAGAAGGGTCTGGTTGAACCTGAGTGCTTCATGCTTCTCCGGGAGTAGTGGGTAACCGTAATTCAGCCGGACGGGCTGAATGGAGAACGCAAGGAGGCAGCCCCTCCACCATGGAAAGGCACAACAGACCAATCACCAGTTTGCCTTAAACTATGATTACAAGTTACCACAGAGAGAAAACCGGACGGATCTAAACGGCGACGAACTGGCATGGCTTACAGACTACGATTTATGGATCATACAAGGCATTAATGGGAAGGAAAACGAGTTACTAAGAGAGACGAGGAAAGCAAAATTAGAAATCTTGGCTCTGACTGAAACCAAGAAAAAGGGGCAAGGAATCAAAGATCACGATGGAAGTAGGCTGCTCTACAGAGAGAGACAAAGGGAGGGTTGGAGGTTTTGTGGCCAGGAATCAAGCTATTAACATCAAGAGATGGAAATTCATCTCAGAGCGAATTATGGTGTTGGATCTGAAAGAAGAAGATAAAACTGTCAATACTGTCATGGTGTATGGGCCAAATGAAGATGAGCGAGTAGATGTCAAAGAAGAATTCTCTGAACTGCTCCAAAAGACCAAAGATGACTGTCACGATGAAATTATCCTCCTAGGAGATCTAAATGCCAGAGTAGCAGATGAACACTCTAGATGGGGTGGAGTGATCGGGAGATATGGTGAAGATGTTTTGAATGATAATGGCAAGCGACTTCTCATATTCTGCAGGAAACAGAACCTTGTCATTACAAATACAAAATTCCCCAACAAACGTATACATGCATACACAATATGCTCACCTTCAAAGAATGAGAAATCCCTCATAGAATATGCCGTAGTAAGGAAAAGCTCATTCAAGTTTGTGAGAGACGCCAGAGTCATGAGAGGACCAGAGATTGAAAGTAACCACTATCTAGTCACAATAATAAAAAAAAAAAAAAAACGACTGAAAGAACTGCTCCAACAAGGCAGCACCGACAACCATGGTGTTGAGAACAATCGTGACCCAGAAATGACGGACCTCACTACTGAGTAGGAAATCCTCCATGGGGATGATAACACCAGGATGGAAGAATTGAAGACAGCTATTGAGAAGATTAAACTGGGGAAAGCAGCAGGGCATGATGGTATAACACCAGAGATGGTCAAATATATTGGAATCGCAGGTGAGCGACTTCTACTGAAGGTTCTCCAGGCAGCCTGGTGTAGCAAAACTACCAAAAGATTAAGAGATTGCCATCATTATACCTATATTAAAAAAAAAGGTGATAACAGACAATGTGAAAACCACAGAGGCATATCTGCTCCTCAGCGTTCCTTGTAAAAGTTACTCAGAATTCTCGAGCAGAGACTCATAAGTGGTAGAGCCACAGCTGGATTAGGCTGAGTGCGGCTTCAGAGCAAATCAGAATACTCAAACCTTTATCTTCACACTGAGACAGATGAGTCAAATAGACCTTGAATATAAGAGTGAGAAAATTGGCCACCGTTGCAGGCAAAGAATCAGGGAAACAGACCTCAGGGGCCTCCAGGGTCCGCTGGAAAGACAACATATGACAGAGGACTGGACTGGAACAAAGCCAGAAAGAAAACTGCTGATAGAGAAGTCTTATAATCTCTCTGGCAAACCTCTATACCCCAAGATAAAAGAGGAGCGACTAAATACAAGTAGTAAGTAAGTAATGTAATTTAAGCAGCAAGGATCTGATTCCATAACAAATTTAACCACAAAATCACATTTATTCAAAAGAACAGAACAAACTTCATAACATACTGGCATAATGTAATATATTCATTAATAAACATATATACAGTAATTATATATACATTTTTACAGTAAGTATATTATAAGACATTTTCGAACTTCAGTTAATAGCATAGCTTTATTAAAGAATTTGCTTTATGCAATATTGCATGTGCAACTACTGATTTGTTGTGCTGCTTCCATCAACAATGGATTGCTACTATAGTGGCAGACTGTTTGTGTTGGCAGTTCTAATGTCTGCCTTCTACTTTAATGCATGTATATGCTATTGGCTTTAAGAGATTATGACCTGCTTTAATTCTTCAACACAAGGAATGGTGAGAATTCTGTTTCGTTTTTGCTGGCATAAGAATGAATTAAGAATGGAATAGGGTGTTCCGTCTGTTGTGGAGCTGGAACTGCAAATAAATAACTATTATAAAAGTACGTTTGGTGGTGCCTGAGTGTCAGTCAGTCATTTTGGACATTTAATAAATTCTTGTTGCTGCCATAAAAGAGAAATTCTTTTTTTTTGGGCATTCATCAGTTGTTAACTGCAGCAGAAAGTTCTGGTTGTTCATTCACCTCTGGATGTGGTTTTGGGTTCTTAATTTATAACGTACCCCAAACACGAAATTCCCGTGGGAAATCCACAGCTGACCTGACAGTCCATTATTTCAAGGGGTGCAAGTGTGCTGTTGTGTGGTGCTGTTTTTGAGCATCTAGTGTATTCTAACCCTAACCCTAACCCTAAAATTGGCTGTAGATAAATCGCGAGAAACTACAACCTGAAAACCCTAGAATTTATTGGGAATGTCTTCCGTGACGTAGTCGTGACATCAGGGGTAAGTTATAAATTAAGTACCTGGTTTTGTTCCAGAACTTGAGTTTTTTCCTACATATCCAGTTTACAGATCTGGTTTATTTGTATGCAGACTGTTAGTTCCTTGCCTCTCGGGCAGACTTTAAAGGAAACATCTCTAATTAGTTGACTTCTTTGACATGCTTGGATGAAGAAATATTTGTACAATAAACAATTCTAATTCAAGAGAATCATACAAAATCTACTGGGAAAAAAAAATACTATATGCACACAGACATTAAACCAAAAGATGTTTACAAAACATTTGATACTGTTCTGCTGCTTTTGTACAACATAATAAAATATGAAATGTGGGACTAGAATTTTCAGGAAGAATTAATAATCATATCTATATATATAAAATTAATTGAAATATACAGTTTAAAAATAAGGAAATGCCTAACAAACATAGCATGACTATTTATGTGAACAAAACAGAAAATCCCTAACAAAAAGAGCATGAATATTTATGTGAACAAAACAGGAATTGCATAACGAAATAACATGAATTTTTATTTGAACAAAAAAGGAAATGCAAAATGAAAAAGCATGAATATTTGTGTGAACAAAACAGGAAATGCCTAATAAAAAAGCATTAATATTTATGTGAAGAAAACAGGAAATGCTTAACAAAAAAGGATGAATATTTATGTGAACAAAACAGGTAAAACAAACAAATAAAATACACATAATTTTATGACATCCTGTCTTCAACAAACCTACATTGTTCTACTCCTATTTCTGGTTATTTCAACAAACCTACACTGTTTGTCTCTTATTTCTGGTTATTTCAACAAACCTACACTGTTTGTCTCTAATTTGTGGTTATTTCAACAAACCTTCACTGTTTGTCTCTAATTTGTGGTTATTTCAACAAACCTTCACTGTTTGTCTCTAATTTGTGGTTATTTCAATAAACCTACACTTTGTCTCTTATTTCTGGTTGTATGTGCATCCTATCCATTTACGCGATAATTCTTAGTGAAAGCTTCTTTTCTTCTTCTTCTAAGTGTTCACAGGCTGTAAACTCTGGCAGAAAGTTCTGGTGGTTCGTCCCTTTCTGAACTTTAGTCTTGTTCAACAACTTGAGTTTTGCATGCATACTTCTCTTACAAGTCTGGCCTATTTGTTTGCAGACTGTTGGTTCATTGCCTATTAGGCAGATGCACTCTAACTCTGAAGAAAACATATCTAATTAGTAGACTTTTACAACATGCTTGTTAGAGGCTAGGGTGTCTATTCTCCCCCTCTCCCCTCACCCAATTTGGGCCCCTGGAAACCCACAAGGAAAGAAATCTTTTCAGTGTGACTTATAATGCTAACTGTTCAGTGTTAACATTTGTTAGCACATCCATGACATACTCATCTGCCATCATTGTATCGTCATTCCCATTTCCTCACATCTGCACAAAGTTTGATGTCTGAAATTTTAATATCTCAGTTCTATTTGTACAAATCTTCTTAGCAAATTTAAATAACATTTCTCATTTGGTATCGTTTTATTTTAGTTCCTGTCTGGTTACAAACAAATAAAATTTCCCATCCGGCATCCTCATATCTTAATACCCCAATGGACACATCAAAATAACATTTCCAATCTTTTATTATCCTAATTTCAATCCGGACACTAACAAATGGCATTACCAATCTTTCATGTTTATATCTTAGTACTGGACCGGCCAAATGACATCTCTTGTTTCCCTCATGTGGGTTTGGAGGCTCCAGTGAAGGGGGCAAACAGAACAGTCCCACTGGTTCCTAACAAGCATACTGTAAGAGTCGACAAATTAGGGATGTTTCTTTCAAAGTCAAAATGCATCTTCAACAAACCTACAGTCTGCACACAAATAGGCCAAATGTGTAAAACAGAGGTGCATGCCAAACTCAGTTTCTAGCACGAAGTTAAAGTCTAGTAGTGGTTGTAATTTCTGCAAAAAGAGGGGGGAGGGGGGGGGGGGAGGTTTACAGCTGGTGAATCTGAAGAAGAAGAGGAAGAAGAAGATATCGACTATTTGACATCTTGATGTCTCAGTTGCCATCTGGACACATCCAAATGATTGTCTTGCACAATGTTTGTGCTACTCCTGTCGTTTGGCCCCAACATCTACAACGGTATTTGTATCGGTTGATGGTCGGGTCCAGCTGCATTTCCAAATGTGCACCAGAAGCACCCTCATAGGTACAGTAGGCAAAGGTCACAAAATAGTCCTGCAGAGGTCAAAGAAATGGTGGTTATTAAATACTTTCTTGATACAGTATAACGATCTTTCGCAAAAAAAAAAAAATAAAAACATTTTTGACTTGAACACATGACCGCTAGGCTGGAAGGAAAACATTACTAGTTTAGTAAATAATAATAATAGGTATATGATGCTAGACTCATGTTATCTACAGACCAGTCAGTATAAGTGGGACATGAATAATACAGGTATTAAGGTAGATTCGTGGGAACAAAATGCCATTGAGGAGCAAAATCAGCAAGAGAATGGAGATACCAGGAAAGGGGGGGGGGGGGGGGTGAGGAGTTTGGGGGGGGGGGGGGGGGGATTGCAGAAAAGTTGAGAGCTGAGCATCTGGGAAGAAGTACACAAAAGATCCAGACATCCCATTCTCTACCTGTGAAAGACTTTTCTGATGTTTTACATCCAAATTTAGATATTTTCCCTTGCATTTAGATCGCGTTTTTGAAATTTAGATGGTAGATGTTTTTCTAGATTTTTTTCATTTGAAGTGAATTTATCAAATCTAATCTAAGAAACGGGATGAAATTTGACCTCTTAAATGCTATCTTGACAATAACATTTGGCCTGATAAGAGTAGGAAAAGGCTGTTCCACTTATCAGCTCCCTGATTAGGTATAAAAAGAAATTGGAACAGCTAAAGCATACCAGAGTCATTTTGGATCTGAAGCTTCAACTTTACCATCCAAACTGAGTTTATCCTGTGGATCTTGTAAGGCAGACTTCAGTAAAGATAAGGACATGATTCTATAGGGTAAGTCATATCAATTGCTATGTAATTTGTGACTCTTTCCATTTGGATGTTTTTTCTATATGTTTTCCACGCAAAGTTAGATGTTTTTAGGTATTTGTTGACTCCATTTTGGATGTTTTATGTCAAAGAAACGTGGCAACACTTGCTAGTCACATTGGCCAACACCATGAGCTGTGAGTCTCATGCCTCCCCAAAGCACAATACCCATTTAAAACTGAGTAAACAACATCGCACACTGCTAGGGACAGTAAGCCACAACCGCTGGAACCACAAACCATTTAAGCCAATGATAGTGCTGCAAATAAAACCAGACCATAATAATAACCAAAGCTATCTTCAGTAAGGTTGAATGCAGAGCACGTGTTTTCTTAAAAAAAAAAAAAAAGAACAAACAACCTGGAAACCAAAGTCATTTATTTTTGTTTTTAAATCCACCCAGTACATATAAGATTCAAACCCTAGAACCTGGGGTCAAAAGGCCAGCGTCTAGAAACAGAAGAGTGCCTACCTGTAGTTCTGTGTCTGTAGGAAGGTAGGATGTTTCTGTCAGAGCCGATGATGATGCTGGAGCACTTCTAAGGATGGACCGGGTGACACACAGAGAGAAGTTTGCCACGCCTGGCGGACCCTGAAATACATTTCATCACCAAGTGATTTCTAAGAACAGCTGGTAATGGATTAACTGTATCAGCCTTAAACAACATGTAATTTTTCATTTGCTCTTCTTTATATTTGAATCCCAACCCTCACATCATTTGTTCTCATATTTGTTTATTTTTTTTTTAACTTTTGGTCACAGCACGCTAAAGAAATCTGTCCACATCACAGCAGATCGGGTATTCCCATAAGCACCATAACTGCCATCTTCAGCAGCCAGCACAAAGTTCCCCAACTGATGGTTCCAGTCTGATTACACGTTAGTCTTGCCTTTGCTCTCATTGTTGAGTGTCAGCTGAATCACCTGGTAATTCCTTGCTGCACATTCTTTCAGGAACTTGATGGTCTGTTGGCTCCCCTACATTGATCACTTGCTCCAAAAAGATCTTAACCATATTTACCTTACAGGCATGAATTCACCACCAAGTGGTGCAGAACCAACCAGTCTGCCTGTTCATTTCCCAGTACACCAGCATTCTTCTTCTGTTTCTTCTTAGTCAACATTCCCTTGAAGATCATTGTTTCAGATATCACTGCCCTCGATTCATCTCTCAGACTGGCATTCTCTTTTGTTTGGTGACTCAAAGCGTTTGTAAGTCTCCATGTAAATTATCTCTCCGCACCTTTTTGGTCTGCCCTGTGATCTCCTCCCATCAAAAAAGCACTTTTGAAGTATATATTTCACTCACTGTGCACACAAACCTATCATTACATCCTCACACAAACCTATCATTACATCCTCACGCAAATCTATCATTACATCCTCACACAAATCTATCATTACATCCTCACACAAACCTATCATTACATCCTCACACAAACCTATTATTATATCCTCACACAAACCTATCATTACATAATCACACAAACCTATCATTACATAATCACACAAATCTATCATTACATCCTCACACAAACCTATCATTACATACTCACAAAAACATGTTATTACATCCTCGCATAAATCTATAATTACATCCTCATGCAAACCTATCATTACATCCTCACACAAACCCATAATTACATCCTCACACAAACATATCATTACATTCTCATGCAAACCTATCATTACATCCTCACACAAACCTATCATTACATCCTCACACAAATCTATCATTACATCCTCACACAAATCTATCATTACATCCTCACACAAATCCTCACACAAATCTATATCATTATTCACATCCTCACACAAATCTATCATTACATCCTCACACAAACCTATCATTACATCCTCACACAAATCTATCATTACATCCTCACACAAATCTATCATTACATCCTCACACAAATCTATCATTACATCCTCACACAAATCTATCAGTACATCCTCACACAAATCTATCATTACATCCTCACACAAACCTATCATTACATAATCACACAAATCTATCATTACATCCTCACACAAATCTATCATAACATCCTCACACAAATCTATCATTACATCATCATGCAAACCTATCATTACATCCTTACACAAATCTATCATTACATCCTCACACAAATCTATCATTACATCCTCACACAAATCTATCATTACATCCTCACACAAATCTATCATAACATCCTCACACAAATCTATCATTACATCCTCATGCAAACCTATCATTACATCCTCACACAAACCCATAATTACATCCTCACACAAACCTATCATTACATTCTCATGCAAACCTATCATTACATCCTCACACAAACCTATCATTACATCCTCACACAAATCTATCATTACATCCTCACACAAATCTATCATTACATCCTCACACAAATCTATCATAACATCCTCACACAAATCTATCATTACATCCTCACACAAATCTATCATTACATCCTCACACAAATCTATCATTACATTCTCATGCAAACCTATTATTACATCCTTACACAAATCTATCATTACATCCTCACACAAACCTATCATTACATCCTCATGCAAACCTATCATTACATCCTCACACAAACCTATCATTACATAATCACACAAATCTATCATTACATCCTCACACAAACCTATCAATACATCCTCATGCAAACCTATCATTACATCCTCACACAAACCTATCATTACATAATCACACAAACCTATCATAACATCCTCACATAAATCTATCATTACATCATCATGCAAACCTATCATTACATCCTCACACAAATCTATCATTACATCCTCACACAAACCCATAATTACATCCTCATGCAAACCTATCATTACATCCTCACACAAACCTATCATTACATCCTCACACAAACCTATCATTACATCCTCACACAAACCTATCATTACATCCTCACACAAACCTATCATTACATCTCATCACAAATCTATCACATCCTCACACAAACCTCACACAAATATCATTACATCCTCACACAAACCTATCATTACATCCTCACACAAACCTATCATTACATTCTCATCACACCTATCATTAACATAATCATCATTACATCCTCACACAAACCTATCATTACATCCTCACAAAAATCTATCATTACATCCTCGCACAAATCTATAATTACATCATCATTATCATTACATCCTCACACAAATCTATCATTACATCCTCACACAAATCTATCATTACATCCTCACACAAATCTATCATTACATCCTCACACAAATCTATCATTACATCATCATGCAAACCTATTATTACATCCTTACACAAATCTATCATTACATCCTCACACAAGCATATAATTACATTCTCATACAAACCTATTATTACATTCTCACACAAACCTATCATTACATTCTCATGCAAACATATCATTACATCCTCTCACAAATCTATCATTACATCCTCACACAACCTCATACAAATCTATCATTACACCCTCATGTAAACCTATCATTACATCCTCACGCAAACCTATCATTACATCCTCACACAAACCTATCATTACATTCTCATGCAAACCTATCATTACACCCTCACACAAACCTATCATTACATCATCACACAAACCTACTATTACATCCTCACACAAACCTAACATTACATCCTCAACCAAACCTATCATTACATCCTCACATGAACCTATCATTACATCCTCACACAAACATGACTACAGCTGACATCTGGCTGGTGTAACAATTACAGAAGCCCTAATTATAACTTCCTTAGAGGTTGAACTGGCTGTCTGTGATCCGCCTCGTTGGTCTTCCATCCAGATTTATATTTTTCAATTTCAGGATCATATGGTAAAGGTTGAATTTTGAATTAAGAATCAACATCACAGCACTTGCAACATTCCCATAAGTGCTCAGTCCCCATCTTCAGCAGCAAGCAAAAAGTTCCAATTCTGATGGTACCAGTAAATGTCTGATTGTATATCAGTCTCATCCTTCTCCTGAGTGTTGAGCGTTGGCCAGGTCCCCTGGTAACTCTTCGCAGCGTCATTCTCCTTAGACCGTAATGATCTATTTGCGCCTCCACACTGTTCACCCCATCTTAAAGGGCTCTCACACTATTTAACTTGTCATACATCAATTCACCACCCAGCTAGTCTATCTGCCTGCTTATTTCCCAACACAGTCGCATGACCTGGAGAAAATATCCAAAGGATGCTAACTACCCATATGGCAAAACTTTAGGTAGCCACCTGGGGAACAAACAACTGATCAATCACTCAAACAAACATAATGGTTTCTTACTCTGAGGTGTCAGCTTGCAGCTGGTACTTACTTGAGGTCCTGGTGTGAGGCTTATGTTGGCAATTTCTGAGTCAAATTTTGCCTCAATTTGCTGAAGAGTACTGCTCAAGTGTTCTTGATTAGATGAAAGTTCTTTAACTTTTTGCTAAAAACAAAACAATACAAGAGACATATGTTAATTAATGAATCTTTTACATATAATTGAGTCAGTTATCATGGAGGGTGTGGCCCATACATCTTGAGTTTAAATCTGCATCGAGGTTGATTGTTTTTCAGAAGTGACCTCAGCGTCCACTCGGCCCAGCCTGAAATTAGTCAGATAATGTCTTTGGAAATAAATGTGGCCCACCTGATGCTGACCAAATACCTCACCAAGCGCTTACAACATACCTCACCAAGTGCTGACCACATAACTCACCAAGTGCTGACCACATACCTCACCAAGTGCTGACCACATACCTCACCAGGTGCTGACCACATACCTCACCAAGTGCTGACCACATACCTCACCAGGTGCTGACCACATACCTCACCAAGTGCTGACCACATACCTCACCAAGTGCTGACCACATAACTCACCAAGTGCTGACCACATACCTCACCAAGTGCTGACCACATACCTCACCAAGTGCTGACCACATACCTCACCAAGTGCCGACCACATACCTCACCAAGTGCCGACCCCATAACTCACCAAGTGCTGACCACATACCTCACCAAGTGCTGACCACATAAGTCACCAAGTGCTGACAACATAACTCACCAAGTGCTGACCACATACCTCACAAAGTGCTGACCACATACCTCACCAAGTGCCGACCACATAACTCACCAAGTGCTGACCACATAACTCACCAAGCGCTGACCACATACCTCACCAAGTGCTAACCACACAACTCACCAACTGCTGACCACATACCTCACCAAGTGCTGACCACATACCTCACAAAGTGCTGACCACATAACTCACCAGGTGCTGACCACATACCTCACCAAGTGCTGACCATATACCTCACCAAGTGCTGACCATATACCTCCCCAGGTGCTGACCACATACCCCACCAAGTGCTGACCATATACCTCACCAAGTGCTGACCATATACCTCACCAAGTGCTGACCATATACCTCACCAAGTGCTGACCATATACCTCACCAAGTGCTGACCATATAACTCACCAAGTGCTGACCATATACCTCACCAAGTGCTGACCATATAACTCACCAAGTGCTGATTGGTCTATAAGAAAAGGCACCTAGCCTAATATTCCCAGTGTGCCAGTGGCTCAAATAAGGCCCTTTAGTTTAGTGTTTCTCAACTTTGTTACACCCATGGTCCAGCAAAATGGGGAAACGTCCCTCTGACAGTTAGACAAACAGAAAAAAAAACACATGGAAACGTCCCTCTGACAGTCAGACAAACACAGAAAAAAACAACAACAGGGAAACGCCCCTCTGACAGTCAGACAAACACAGAAAAAAAAACAGGGAAACGTCCCTCTGACAGTCAGACAAACACAGAAAAAAAAAAAAAAAAAAAAAAACAGGGAAACGTCCCTCTGACAGTCAGACAAACACAGAAAAAAAAACCCAGGGAAACGTCCCTCTGACAGTCAGACAAACACAGAAACAAAAACAAAGGTTGTTGGCAGTTTATTTATTAAATCAATTTTATGTAAATGTGACACCTTCTGATGATTAGAGGTTAGAAAATCTGATGACAGGGAGAGTTAATTCTTATAGATAAAGCACTGCAATAACATTCATTCAATTTCTCTGCTTTGATTAGTATTACTGACATGGGTGAGAACATCTTTCCAAACAAATAAGAAGTAGAACACTCACACAGACACACACACACACACACACACACACTATGAAGATGTCAAGTATAGCAGAATACCGGAATCAGTGGTTCTCACACTGGTGTGCTACTAAGAAGATTTCAAGTGTAGTAGAATATGAGAATCAGTGGTTCTCACACTGGTGTGCTACTAAGAAGATTTCAAGTGTAGTAGAATATGAGAATCAGTGGTTCTCACACTGGTCTGCTAGTGTGAAGATGTCAAGTGTAGCAGAATACATCAAGTAGAGACTTTAAGATAGAGACTCGGATGTAAGCAAGAAGGAAGTCTTCCCAGCCAAGAAGACAACAGTAAATAATTAAAAGAAAGATAACTCCCCTCAGAAGATGCAAATTTGCTTCCTGAATTGTTAATATTAATAACAAACATAAACACAAAATAACAAACCTCAATAAAATTTGTCAAATTATTCTGCTGGTGCAGTAAAGATTCCTTCAAAGCTGCATTCTGAAATTAAAGAACATTTTACAACAGTTTAGCAACAGTGAATATGGCATTTGTGTTGCAAGGACCCAAACACTGAAGAAGTTTCCGAACATTGCTGAGGTTATGTACAAAAATCGTGACAAAGATACCTTGGGAATTACATAGAACTGACAATACACATCTACAGGCTGCTATGTTTACTCCCTCACAAATGACATGGCGAGGCTATCTCACCATTTTCCTTTCATCCTGAGCAGCACACATTCACATTCAAGGATCCCAACGTGGGTTTCAGGGGTCCAGCTTGGAGAACGAAGAAGAGACCCACTTCTTCCTCCTTCCCCCCCTTCCAACAATCATGACATAGGAAGTGATGAATTAGGTATGTTTACTTCAGAGTCTGAGTGTCTGCCTGAGAGGGAAGAAACCAACAGTCTGCACACAAATAGGCCAGATCTGTAAAATGGATGTGTGCACAAAACTCAAGTTCTGTAACAAAACCAAAGCCAATAAGTGGACAAACGACCAGAACTTTCTGCCGGAGTTTGTAGTCAGTGAATGCAAAAGAAGAAGAAGAAGAAGAAGAAGAAGAAGAAGAAGAAGAAGAAGAAGAAGAAGAAGAAGAAGAAGAAGAAGAAGAAGAAGAAGAAGAAAAAGAAGAAGAAGAAGAAGAAGAAGAAGAAGAAGAAGAAGAAGAAGAAGAAGAAGAAGAAGAAGCCGCAGCAGCAGAAGAAGAAGAAGAAGAAAAAGATGAAGAAAAAATTAAAGGACTTTAAATTCCTTCAGTATCTAAAAACTCACGATCTATTTGTTGGCTTCTGCCTATATTATTTTATATTTTCTTAACTCATCATTCCACACCCAGTTGTTACACTAACTCACTCTGCTCTGTTACTTTAACTCCTCATTGAGAGTACAGTTATTGTTAAGTCATAATGTCCGAAACATTTACTTCTTGCAAATTCACTTTCGCAGAGTATGTTCAATCCAGCCATCAAGAAGTAATCTTCTATATTGCCACAACCTATTTTTTAGTTACTGGATTAGACTGAGTATGATGAATAATATAGCAGTTGTCCTTTCTTTTCACACTGATGTCAACTTACACTACATTTGTAGTCTTTATATGCAGGTTTTTTTCTGGCACTGCACAGTAGTATAAAGTACTGGCACTGTCCAAAAAATATTAAGCGCTACTGTAATAGACACTTTGGGGTGAGTGCTAGTACATTGTTAGATACATTTTGGTGAGTACTGTCAACTTTTTAGAGAGAGAGAGAAAAAAAAAGGCATATTTTAAATTATTAAATTGTGTGATACCTCCACAATGGAGCTTGATTGCAATGACCGTACATCCAGTTCTGTGTCTTGGACTGTTACGAAGTAACAATCTTTTAAGTACATCATTCCCCTCCCCTCTACCCCCGAATCCATGATATTCTCACTAACTACATCATGCCCCTCCCCTCTACCCCCGAATCCATGATATTCTCACTAACTACATCATGCCCCTCCCCTCTACCCCCGAATCCATGATATTCTCACTAACAGAAAAGGACACCCCAGAGATGTCCACTTATCCATATGGACACTCAAACCCTAATTTGTCATAATAGACAAAAAAAAAAAAATGTCTGACCTCTTTTATCAGATCTTCAACTTTTTGCTGCAAGCTGACCAAGGCAGAATCAAAATCAGACTGATCGATAATAGAGCTGTTTCCGGAACGTTCCAAGGCTAGTGTCTGAGATATGACTGGTTCTGTAAGACCAAAAATGATTATTAGAGTACTGACACTGAGTGGTCTAAAGGCATGGTGTCTGCTCCGTGTTCAATCCCCGTTAAGGGCTGGGATTTTTTTCACATGGACTTGGGCTTTTAGTAGCCCGTTTGCATTGTTGCGCACGTAAAAAATCCCATGGCAGTTAGAAATCGAAAAGAGTAGCCTAACGGCGCTGCCTGGCCAATATTTTTAGTTAAAAATCTACCCAAAGTATTTCAGGATTCTTGCCGGTGCTACAGAGCCTGTGCACTGTGCTGAGGTTCTTTGGACTCAGACTTGAGTTAGAAGAAGAATGGAGCACTTATGGGTTACTACCTGTGTGCCATGATGATGATCCTTTGTTCAAACTGCAAACGTAGTAATTAGGAAACACGGAGATAAAAATGATGACACACATTAGCAAGGCATCAGCAGCTTTTAGATGGCAATCTGAGGGATTGAGGAACTCTTGACCTCAAAGAGAAACCCTAAAGTGAACGTTGAGAGAACCATCTCCTAGGAGTCTTCAACAGAACCATACCTCCACAGAATCCATGTATTTCTCGTGAACCTGTTGATCCAACAATCGTCCAATATTTGCAGTTAATCTCCTAGTGTTTTGAGTAATAAATCTGGTTCATTTTAATTGTAATGATGCTATAAATAGGGATAACGTCAGGGTATGACTGACAGAATTGTGGAAGTCCCTGATAGCATGGGTTTCACAGGGAGATGTCGAAAAGACAGAATTGATTGAGTCACGTGTGAATGCAAGATCTGGGGGATTGAGAATGAGGTGGTCATTCGGTGACTGGGCCCCAGATTGAAAGGACATGAAGTTGAATCCAGAGTGATAAGTGCACACGTGGATCTGGATGGGAATCGAGTGAATGTTAATCCCGAACGACAAGAGATAAAGCGGTGTTGAATTATTGTTTAGGCCATCAGTTGTGTTCCACGGCCTGTTGGTTTTACCTGTCGTGTATATGCCAGTGTTCATCGTCTGAACCTTGGCTGGAGACTTACAGCGTGAGCAAGGCGAGATTGCCCGGATGGCGTTCTACTGTTGATTCTTGTCGCTTGTGTTGCATTGACAATAAACCTGTGCAGTGTGTCAACTGTCGTCGACTGTCATTTAAAGTTGTGTGACAGGTGGAGAGAAGAGCAGTCTAGCTGGAACGAACTGTGACATAACACCTAGACAACAGAGTCAGTGTTGAATCTGCACAAGAGAGATTAAGTGCGGAGGAGACACATTAATAATACATACCTTTGACTGAACAAAAACATATTTCATCATCAACTCTGTCAGTTGTTTTACCAGACAGTTTTTGTTAACTTTTTATCTGTTAATTTGAGTTTGAAACAGTTACATGCCAATCTGAAAATTCATTTCTTCAGAACTGCCCCTAAACAGCTCAGTAAAAAACTTCTCTCTAACTTTCTGATGTTGAGCATTTGTTCCATAACTTTAATAGACTGATATACATAAAAGGAAAAAAAAAAAATAAAGAATACTGAAAAACCATAAGTACATACTTGAAACAAAGGTATAGATGCTTAGGCATAACGCTGTCACTGAGATGATAAGGATGATGATGAGAAAAACAATAATCCAGCAACTGATTCTTGGGGCTTTTGCTGCTTTGATCGAATCCATTGGATGGTTGGTGGTATTCAGTGGCATGTACGTGTGCGGCAACGACCCGATACGTGGGTCATGCATGGGATGTGAGATGATTCTGGGAATAGAAAGAACTTTACAACTTTACATTTTCTCATTATTTCTTCACTATATATACTGAATAGAAATTGTAAACGTTATTAACAATTCTAGTTTTATTTGTTATTCCATTTTATTACCAAGAAATTTACTTCAGAGTTTACTTCAGAAATCTGGCTGCCCAGCATTTTACATTCACTGTGAATTTATTTCGTCTGAAAGTAATGCACTCATCCTTTTTTGAAAGAGGGTGTTATACACCTCCCCCCCCCCCCCTCTCCCAAAAAAATTGGTGTTTTGAATCTGTGTGTGTTTCTAGGCCCAAGCTGGAGGGGGGGGGGGGGGGGGGGGGGGCACTGCATCCTAACAACCATATTGTAAGAAACAGCTTATGGATTTTATGAAATCAAATGTGTTGTGATAAAATGTGCAGAAATTGCATATTTGCTGTAAAACCCTAATACAATGGGCCAGCCACTCTTTAAAAGGCAAACGCATAAGCATAAGAAGATATTCTAATAAATCAACAAAGTACAATGCAGAAAGTATAGGAATGATAAAATGGAATGGATGGATTTACTGCAAATACAATGTGAAATATAAATGGCACAATTGGACACTGATGATGATACCAGGTGTGAAATATTGTAGGATGAAAAAAAGTAAAAGAACTTGTAAGACTTTTTACATAAACAAGATTGTCTGACGTACTCAGCCACTGACGAGTTAATGGCTGGATCCGTGTCCTCACTGTCAGAGTTGGTAACACCAGAAATGTCCACTTGTGGTAGCTGTGGGAGGCCATTCCGTACACTGTCTGTTTTCATCTTGTCGGTACTGCGTCTGACAAGCAAACATCAAACATAAATAATGGTTGAATCAACAATTATGAGACTGTAAAACATAAATTGGATGAAATAATTGCAGTTTTACCTTTGTGCAGAATGGAGACAAGAGACTGTCCTTTAGATGAATCACTGATGTACTCTAAGAGTCAAAATATGATATCGCTTGAAAGTTTAAAAAAACACATCCATTTTCACTATGAACATTGTCATGAATATAATCAATCTGGAGCTATTATTGAAGGCAATGATGTCCTGAGAGATCAGTGGTAGAAGAGGCAGAGGCACACCAAGAGAAAGGATGCTGGGTAGGTTGACCTTAGAGCATAGATCAATTATAAAATACCTACAGCAAATGGGCTATTTCCATCATTACCACTGAGCTGCATAAGTGCTGGAACGTGGGGGGTTTCTCTCTCTTTGTAACATCCCCCATCCCACCCATAATTTTTAGGAAGCTTACCCCACCCCCTCCTCCCCTCTCCCACCACCACCACCAGTACTACTACCACCACCATCACCTCTTCATTTTAAATATTTGTTAATACATTTTATATTTTTCAAATCTGTTATTATATTTATTGTCATTTAGCACAATAATTATTTCTCAGTTAAACTTCAATAAACTACAAACATTTATTTAACAGGCATATCCCCCTGTCTATAGCGCCACAAAAAAAAGTGTGTTGGGAAATGAGCAGGCAGATAGACAGGCCGGTTCTGCACCACTTGGTGGTGAACTGATGTCTGACAAGCTAGATGTAAGGGCCCTTTTGGAGCGAGTGAATTGCACTGCCAGGAGTTACCAGGGAACCTGGGTGACGCTCAACACTCAAGGGAAAGACGAGACGGATTTACAATCAGACAGCCGCTGGTTTCATCGGAACTGGAACTCTTTACTTGCTGCTGAAGATAGGGACGGGCGCTTATGGGAGTGTCCAAGTGCTGTGATTTCGATTCAACATTTGAGCAACGAGGCCCCTATCATTTTAAATTACACCCCCTATCTCATCACGTTAGAATAAATAAAAGCATGAAATAATATATTCAAAAGAATATAGATAAAAGATAATTTCAGGGGCGGAAATGAAAAGGGGAGGGGGGGGGGGCATGGTAGAAAATAAGATGGGTGGGGAGGGGTGGCCGGAATAAAGATTACATTAAAAGGAAAAAAAATATTTTTATTAGGACCCTAGAGACTGTAGCCCTAACCTGTAGCTGAATTAGCTTATGCCTAAATTTGGCAATGACCTCAGGGCTTTATCTGAGGGCCTCATCAAGTGTAAAACTGAAGACGGTACAAGGTAAAGTCCTGGGAAGTAAAGACAACCAGTGAGATGTTTACCACACTGCCCACCTAGTGGCCACTGGTCTATCAAAATGATTCGACTATGTAAGATGTGCCACAGGCGTTCTTGTACAGAACCACATCTCAGGGTCTTTTACTTACTTCACACCATAACAGTCATACTGACCATGCAATAACCTTGACCATTGGTTACTCAGTACGCACCTCTGTGGCACATGATTCTGGTGTTGGTGTGTCCGATGGTACTGGTCAATGTCCTCATACTGCTGCTCGTACTGAGTGGACAGGCGCGGGCTGGACACGGAGTTGGTGGAGCAGGTCGGAGAAGTGCTGAATCTGACACTGCTGGATCCTCGCACAGACTCACAGTCTCCAACTCCTGACAGAAACAAATTACACATCACTGTTACATCAACCCCGATTTTCACCAAGCGATTGTTACATCAACCCCGATTTTAACTAAGCAATTGTTACATCAACCCACCTTTTAACCAAGCAATTGCTACATCAACCCCAATTTTAACCAAGCCATTGTTACATCAACACCCATTTCAACTAATCCACCATTGGATCATCCAACTCCATTGCTACATCAGCCTACTTTTTTTAATGAATTCAATGATACATCATTCCACTTCATTGCTACATCAACCCACTTTTTAACCAACTCATTGTTGTATCGACGAGGCAGACCAAGAAGATGGAGAGATAATATCCAGACAGACCTGTAAACACTTGGTGTTACCAACTGGAAAGAGAAGGCTAACCAGAGAGATGAAGGGAGGCGGGTGATATCTGCAGCAATGAACCTCAAGGGATCGGAATGCTGAAGAAGAATTGTTGCATCGTCACACTCCATTGCTACACAAACCCGCTTCTAACCAACTCAATGTTGCATCGTCCCACTCCATTGCTACAGCAACCCACTTGTTTTAACCAAGCCATTGTGTCTATATTTTTCAGGGCTGACGCTATTCTAACCTTCTTCAATAAAATGAAACTGATTGTGGTTCTTCCAGAAGAGACTCTGCCACTTAAAAAAAATTAACTAATTTTGTTTGTTTGCCATAATGTTCTGCAAAAGGTTTGGATCAAAGACCTCTTTTCACTAGCTAACCTCTGATTAAAGATAAGGTGGGACTGGTCTTTTAGCGTGTTATCAAGCTGACTTATCTAGTCAGGTATCAATACAACTGGTAGTGGGAGCGGGAGGGTTGTTCCTGTGGAGTAGTCAAACTGGAGCCATAAGTTCCAGGATCAGAGGGACAGAGTTTAAACATATAAAAGGAAAAAGGGTGGGGAGGGAAAGGGGGGAAGGGGGGGGGGGTTGAGGGAGGTAGAGGGCAACGAGAACCTACTGTTGTGTACTTCGTCTTGTGAACGTTAACACCGGCACAAACCATGTGTTCATAAACTAAAAGCTGACCGGGCACAGCTCACCCAGCACGCCACCTGACACTAGACTTCTAGATAAACTCCCCGTCTGGGTTTCGTGGCCCTATTATAGGGAAAACAAGAATAGACCCACTGCCTACCCAAAAGCATGTCGTAAGAGTCGACTAATTGGGAGCTTCCTTCGAAGTCGGAATGCATCTGCCTGAGAGGCAAGGAACCAACAGCCTGCATACAAATTAGTCAGATCTGTCAAACGGATGCACACGCAACACTCAGGTTCTGGAACAGGACTGCAGTCCAGAAGTGGACGAACAACCAGAACTTTCCCCCGGAGTTTACAGCTGGTGAACGCGAAGAAGAAGAAGAGCTCGATAAACCAAGTGAATGATCTCAAGTGCATCCAGCAACTATTCAAAGATGGGAGGTCACCTTTTTGGAGCTAACGTTTCCAAGGGGTGACAATTACTAGCTAAGTATTCGTGGAAAGCACATTTTACTCCATTTTTGTTTGATTCCTTTGTGGTTATACCTCTTAAGTGTTCCTTCTACAATTCTGTGGATGTAGAAAAACAATAAAAATAACTTCTGCGTTTGTGAGTCAGAAAGAGCTCAGCTCAGTGCACAGGCTCTGTAGCACCGGCGAGGATCCTGAAAAACTTTAGGTGGATTTTTAACTCTAAATTATCGCCCAGCGGCGCCGTTAGGCTACTTTTTTCGATTTCCAACTGGCAAGGGATTTTTTTACGTGCGCAACAATGCACACGGGCGTCCGATCTCACTACCCAGAGACCAGGAGGAATTACTAGAAGTCCAAGTCCACGTGAAACAATCTCAGCCCTCGACGGGGAGTGAACATGGAACCTCCAGCACTCGAGGCGGATACCATGCCTCACGAAGGGGGATCCCATGCCTCGAGACACGCAGCCCCCCCCCCCCCCCCCCCAATTCACTAAATTACTACGGAAATGAATAAATAGATTACCTGTTAGTAGCTGACTTTACCTGAATCAAATCTCTGGAAGGGCCTGCCTCCCCTTTTGTGAATGCTGTGTGTGCTTGTTTCGCTGCCAATGGAATGGAAGTCGGTACTGCTGTAGTCCAGACCTGAATCAACGTATGCAGGAGGGTCTGTTGGAGTTAAGTAACCATTGCCGTCGTAACTGTCAAATACTTCTTGGCAATTGGTAGAATTCGACCGTTCTATACTTTCCGGATTCTCTTTTAGACCGGAATGACCTACACTATCAAACTTGTCTCTTTTCCCATTTGGAATAGCAACTGGATTCGTGTTTTTGGTTTCCCTGATGTAGCTTCTGGGCGGTTTCTTTCTGGCGGGAAGGGATGGGAAGTCCTGCTGGGTGTTGCCATAGAGGTCAGTTCTAAAGTCGATGTGGTTGCCCCTGTTGTTGAATACACCACTGGGTGTGGTGTTTGAACCATCAGCCATCATCAGTGGAGTGTGACTGCTGTAGGGAGCAGTCTGTTCCTTCCAGCTTGGGCTTTTCTCACTTTGGACAGTGAAAGCAAAAACACATTTATTTAAACATTAAAACTCAACAGACTGTTTAAAAAAAAACCCAGTAAACTATCAAACAACTGTACGAACGACAGCATGTTAACGGGTTCCATATTAGAGAAGAGAATAGTAACGCTGTAATACGAGCACAGAATGGTAACAAACACGGTGAGAAACCATGTGTGTCGAAAGAGGAAACAAATGAGGTTTGGATTTGTAACGAAACATATAAAGAATGGTATAAGTCAAGTAAGGGTCTGTGCTTTTTTCGGAATGTAGGGATCATAATAATAATAATGAGGTTTTGGAGGAGGAGGAGGAGAAGAAGAAGAAAAACAAGAAGTAGCAGTAATAGCAGCAGCAGCAACAGAAGTAGTTCTGAACTATTTGTGAACGCGCAATATAATACAGTAAATATACTCGTATAATCGAATTATTTCAATATTAAATTTAAGAACACCTCCATTTATAGAAAGTGCACGCAATCGCACGTAGCAAACAATTAAAGTGTAACGGCCTACTCGGTGTTGTCCGCCCTTGGTGTGTTTGTATACATTATATATATATATATGCACCACAGAAGGAAACTGATTTACTTGTGTGGAATGTCCCCACACACTGGTGACTCAGCCCTGTGTCTGTGTTTGTGTGCGTGGGGTGGGGGTTGATAGGTTTGGGCAGGCCTACAAGGTGTAAATATTGTTCCTGATTCCAGCGGAAATCCCTTACCTAGCGTTGTCTCCTGTTTCAGCTTGCTGATCTTTACAAGCACAGACAGAACCCCCGCACAAGAAGCAAGTGTAAAAAGGATTTTCAAATCGAAGTCGTAGTTCATCTGTTTTATTGAGAGGTGAATAACCAACAGTCTGCATACAGAAGTAAGTCAGATTTATCAATCTGGTGTGCACGCAATACTCAAGTTGTGGAATAAGACTGAACTCAAGAAGTGCAAGAACAACCAACACTTTCCGGCAAAGTTCAAAGCCAGTCAATTTTAAGACAATGAAGAGCAACCACACCTTTTCTAGCAAGGGGCGTCTGGCACAATGGTTGGGGCCAGGAGATTTTGTGCGGGAGACCCTTGCTAAGATAATGCTTTTTCTTCTTCTTCTTCGCGTTCAACGACTGTAAACGCCGGTGGAAAGTTCTGGCTGTTCGTCCCCTTCTGGACTGCAGTCCTGTTTCAGAACCTGAGTGTTGCTCGTGCATCCGTTTGACAGATCTCATTTGCGTGCAGACTGTTGGTTCCTTGCCTCTCAGGCAGAAGCACTCCGATTTCGAAGGAAGCTCCCAATAGGTCAACTCTTACGACATGTTTTTGGGTAGGCAGTGGGTCTATTATTGTTTTCCCTATAATAGGGCCCCAGAACCCACACGGAGAGGTTAGATAATTAATTCTTGTCTCTCAGTTGGTGACAAAAAAATAATGGGTCAACTATCTCCCCTGTTGACACACAAGCAGATACCTCGGAGTACTAAAGTGAATCTTATCAGAACTATTTTTTGGCCAACACTATGCTATCAATGCCAAACGTGGACACTTACATCCTCCAATGAACGTAAAAGTGTGACAACAGAGATTAAATGCCTTAGAAGAGCTGCAGGGGTTTCAATGAAAGACAGAGTACGAAATCATAATCAGGCGAATGCTAGGAATAAAGCCAGTCTTACAGGTCATCAAAGAACAACAAATGAAGTGGTTTGGACACCTAACAAGAATGCCCTGGTACTATCTGTCACAGCGAGCCACACTAAAACGTTACAACGGGTATAGAGCGAGTAGAAGACCTCGGAAAAAATGGAGTGATGGCATTAAGAACAGCCTTACAGAAATGAACATCAGTCTTAATAGTGCTCTTGACAGAGCTTATCAACGAACATTACATCTCCCCCCGACACTTCGATGAGGTAAAAGGTGGAAGAGAAGAAGAAGAAGAAGAAGAAGAAGAAGAAGAAGAAGAAGAAGAAGAAGAAGAAGAAGAAGAAGAAGAAGAAGAAGAAGAAGAAAGAAGAAGAAGAAGAAGAAGAAGAAGAAGAAGAAGAAAGAAGAAGAAGAAGAAGAAGAAGAAGAAGAAGAAGAAGAAGAAGAAAGAAGAAGAAGAAGAAGAAGAAGAAGAAGAAGAAGAAGAAGAAGAAGAAGAAGAAGAAGAAGAATCAGAAGCAGAAGAAGAAAGAAGAAGAAGAAGAAGAAGAAGAAGAAGAAGAAGAAGAAGAAGAAAGAAGAAGAAGAAAGAAGAAGAAGAAGAAGAAGAAGAAGAAGAAGAAGAAGAAGAGAAGAAGAAGAAGAAGAAGAATAAAGAAGAAGAAGAAGAAGAAGAAGAAGAAGAAAAAGAAGAAGAAAGAAGAAGAGCAGAAGAAGAAGAAGAAGAAGAAGAAGAAGAAGAAGAAGAATAAGAGAAAATAAGAAGAAGAAGACTAAGAGAAGAAGAAGAAGAAGAAGAAGAAGAAGAAGAAGAAGAAGAAGAAGAAGAAGAAGAAGAAGAAGAAGAAGAAGAAGAAGAAGAAGAAGAGGAAGAAGCAGAAGAAGAAGAAGAAGAAGAAGAAGAAGAAGAAGAAGAAGAAGAAGAAGAAGAAGAAGAAGAAGAAGACGAAGAAGAAGAAGAAGAAGAAGAAGAAGAAGAAGACAAAAATAGAATCCTAACCTGCACAGTCTAGCGACTGCACTAACTGTGTCCCCTTCAAATCCTCACAATCACGTGACGCGGCCATACACTCTCACATGGTAGACCTCACGCAAATCTACCCATCTCAAGGGCCGCGAGATTTCATATGAGATTTCCAGAGACATTCTGTAGTTTAGGTGTGTCACGTGTCGCTCATTTTAAACGGATTAAGCACGTTTACCACTGACGACAGCCTCCACCAACGAGAGTACAAATACAAATCCATCAATGATTCGATACTCTCAAACCGTCACGCATTCGGCGCTTTCACCTGCAGAACTTCTTTGTTGCACAGAGGCACCTTCGGCGCCTGAGACCTACTCACAATAATAACACATTGAAGAAACAACGGTCGTTCATAAAAACATGAGTTGCGAAAAGAAAGCTGCACACTTTTGTCTGGGAGACAGTGTGCTGACCCGTGGCTGTCGGCAGTATAGGCTCTAGTGCTAATTTGGTAACGTCACTTTCTTAGTCGAACGTAAAACGTAAGGAGTTTCTGTTGTGTTGTTATTTTCTATGACATTTTGTTAAAACCTATTTACAGGGCTATTCAACTAAGTTAGTCAAGTTTACTCAAGGGCCAACATTGTGAAATTAGGGATCGTTATGGGCCAGAGGTCCAAGTACCAGCGTAGAAAGACCAATAATTCAATACGACCAGCAATGATCCAAGGGCCACTCGCTAGGCCTCGGTGGGCCAGATTTGACCCCCGGGCCGCCTGTTAAATAGCTTCGAGCGCATTGCTGTAACTTTTGTGGGCTAACACTCAGGGGACGGATGGGAACACATCGGAACAAAAAATAACGGGACTGTCAGAGTGAACACGGAACACATCGTTAGCCCAGGGTGATGACGTCACGTCCCGCTGATGACGTCAGCAGCTAGACCTTCCATACCCACGGCCCCGGCTGACCACGTCGAACGACCCCGAGCCACCTTTCGGCACGCTGTGTATCAATGGTGATGGAAGACATTATATAACATTTCTTGAACATAGGACATCCCGCGGGAACCGCAATAAAATCTCGTGGCCGACGAGTTTGGGGAGGGGGGGGGGGGGTGACTCACGTGGGTAGTACCCCCTTCCCCACACCATTTTTTTTTTTCAATACTCCGCCTACGTGGTCACCACAGGCTGTAGGGAGATCAATACCTTTCTCCAATATTGTTCTGTCTAAATCAGTCACCCCGGGATTCCTAGTGTTTTTGATGAATAAAAGAAAAAAAAAAATTAAGAACCAAAGTAACTACTCCTTTTGAATCAAATGATGAACAAAGTCAGAGTAACTACAGAATACGTCAAAGGGTCAATAAGGTCAAGGTAACCTTCTGTCATAGACTTGGTTAATTCCCCAAGGTCAAGGTATCTTGCCTAGTATAAGTTACATATTTGTATATATTGAAGTAGTACACGCACAAAATAGAATGCCAAACTAATTCAAAGGCACTGATTAGCACCTAAATATACAATGAAAATGTCTCACGTCATTTCGATGGCCCCAAGCTCTTGCGGCGGATAATTCCGAATACTACACAAATTAATAAGTATTTGAAGAGAAGCTCAAATCTCACCTTATTGTGCTAGATGATTTGCATGGCATTTTTACAACAGGACTGTAAGCTTCAATTTTCAGAATTACGTAAAAGTTGTTCTTCCTTTTCTTTGCATCAAGGAATCCAATCTGGAAACGTTACTGAACCACGCTTATGTTTCGGAAATAAACAAAACAGACAGACTAGAACGCTCAGTGGAGGAAACCAAACACAAGTGTCGGAGCTATAACCGCACCTTACACTTCCCATTCAAACAAATAAATAAACATAAAGCGCTATTTTACTATTTATTATTACTCTATTAATTATTACAAATATGCCACTCGGTTTGCACTTTTGACATAGCGTTACGAACGCTCGCTGCATGCAAACATTGTAAAGTGTGAAAGCTACCAGTTATCAGTACAACGAATCTAGCTGTGCACACACACTTTCAACAGCCTAGCGACGATGATGAACATCACATGATACTCTCACATGTGTAATCGCTGCCTGCTAACACTTACACAAGCTAATTGATCACGCCTCGCCTTTGCGAACACGCACATACATAAAAATGTTTGGCTCTCCTTTGAATTAACCCATAAAATGGCGGCATGCCACATTCAGGCTATAAAATATCCAAAAATATCCGAACGACGGTGTTCACGTATATCTAAAATACGGACTTTCTGCCAAGGAACAAATCGCGGCAAAACTAGTATTACTTGACAATATGAACATTGCACACGGTAGTAGTAGCAGGCGATAAATACCGACAGTTTCTGCAGA